TTAGGGTTAATGAGTTAATCATTAAATTAAATTTTTATCTCATTATTTGAGATAAAATAATTTTATAATCATAAAATTAGAGATAATCAATCTCGTAAGAAGCTAATTACGATTTTATAAGGACAGATGGTCAGTTTTCTGTGCGTACCTATCATTCGTGAATCTCTCTCTTGTTTCAGAAAATCCAGGTGACATTGGATAACCTTTTAATTATTAGATATAATACCAATGTATGGGATTACATCCATAAGACTGTTCATAACGTAATATTATTTCTGTGATATATTTATGAGCAAATAAAAACTCAGTACTAATCCTCTTTAACACGAGTCTTTAAAGTTCAAAGATATTATGAATAATAATAATATGTAAAATACTCACTCTGGCTTCACACGCCATGCCTTCACACTGAAAATATATCAGAAATGTAGTTGCTCACGTGCAGGCCAGGGTTGTACAATATTAATTTAATTCACGGTTTATTATATTTACCACAATTATTTATCGCAAATTGGTAACCAAAGACTAATGTCAATTGGGTTTAAAACTGATAATTAATTAATTATGTTATGAAACTAATTAATATAATTATAAATATGTACAAATAATATGTAGGTAATATGGGACCAAACTTTTTAAATTTGTTACCGGCCATACCGTATATTTTTATGTTTACGCACGTGCCGCAGCTAGTTATAGGGCAAGATTCAGAAACAAGGCTCAGCACTAAGTCTGACTCCTGTCAACAATGTGATTTTGACATAAAGGAGTCATAGTTCGCACTGTCTCATTTCTAAGTCTCAACCTGATACTCTATTCTCTATTCCGACCATACCCCTTGGGACGCATGTTGGACGTAACTTCGTTAAAGCGGAGTCAAATTAACAATTTATACTAGACTAGCGGACCCCACAGATATTGTCCAGCATGATATTTCAAGCGATTAGGATATTAAACAAAGTATGAAAGTATCGATCAGCGACATCTGTCTACGGGCTGATTTGTGAATCTAAACCATACAGGGCTCGATCCAAACGCATACAAAAAAAATAATTCAAATGTGTCCAGCCGTTCAAGAGGAGTTCAGTGACATACACACGTACAGTAGAATTATATATATAAAATCTATCTTTTAAGATAGATCAAACTGCACACGGTGTCCAAATTTGATTGAAATCGGTTAAGTAGTTTCATCGGTTAGTAGTTCACAAACAACGTGACGCGTAATTTATATATATTAAGATTAAGGAGATGTCTAATGTCTATGTTTCATTAAAATAAAAATCAATTAAATAAATATTAAAAGCTAACAATATATAAAGACTTGTAGGTATGAAATTGACACCCCTTTGAAAATGAAAAATGCAAAGCTCGTGCAAGCGGCACGGTTCTGCAACTTCTTACGCCAATATATTAAAACGTGTTACTTTGATAACATTTCGCGATATTGAAGATGTATGTTGTATCCAGTTCCCGAACTCTACCATTTACCCACCCTAAATATCATTGCTTGGGAGACTGATATATTTAGTTGCACACTGGCTGAATTCACAAGATATGCATTATTTATAATTATGTAGTTATAAAAAGGTCTAGAATTCTGTCTTTGACACTATCGAAATCTTTATAATATGTTCCCAGAGTAGGTAGTAGTAGTTCAGTTGCGATATTTTGTATCTTATGTATGCATAATAATTACATTTAATTAATATTATCAATTATTATTTCTTTTCGACATTATCGGTGTTGGTATAGTACTGTTAGGATAGTGTAGGCTTTTTGTGAATAAATATATAAATGAATTGAGTGAATCACGAACACTTTAAATTGTCAAATACTTACTCTTGCGCTACAATCTTCACCGATGCACTGTAATGGAATTAAACGTTTCGGTTTTAAGATGGTTTATTTTTCAAAGAAATTTCAAAAGAAAAATTAAATTTCAGGTAGGTTAGTACATCGTAATATCACATTAGAAAATAAGCTAATTAAATAAAAATGTAAGTTCTCTGCATATACTAAAATTGATGCATTCGCTAAAGTAAAGAAACAGGTAGATCGCATTGATGTTACAACAGGCATGTGTAACTAATGAATAGTAATAATTTGTTAGAAGTAATCCTTCTGTGGTCAGAATCCAGCGGTGTCGATAAGCCTTAGTGAAGCTTAGAAAGCTTTGAAGCATTTATCTCCTGTCTTGGTATCAAACAAAAACACTCACCATAGCAAAACAGCTTGGTCCTTTACACTAAAAATCATATTGTTTTAAATAATATTGGTACTACAAAATTTGTATTTTATACACTAGCATACAAATCAATTACTTAATTAAAACATAAAAATTATTCACTAGCAAAGAACCAAACAATAAAAACTAAATATACACTTAAATTGTGTAATTAAGTTAGAATCATCTTAAGTAGAAATGGGCGGGGCACATGGCAAGAGGAACAGATAAGTGGAGCATGAAATTACTAAACTGGTGCTCAAGGTTTATGAATAAGAGAAAGACAACACAGAAGGTGGGTAGACCAAATTAAGGAAACAGCAGGTGATACATGGCAGAGAGTGGTACAGTTCAGAGGAACGGCGGGATTTGGAGGAAGCCTTTGCTAAAAAAGGGCACACAGACCTAAAAAGAATGAGATAATAAATATAAATGTGTTTAAGGCTGCTGCCTCGAATTTTGCGGGCAGCGGGGCGGCGGGGCTGCGGCGCGGGGCGGGCGATTGCACTTCTCCCCCCCCCCCCGCCCCCGCCGCGTTTTCGAGAACCGGTCCATTGATTTTACGCATAAGACCTGCTCTGCGCCGCCGCCTCCACCCCCTCAAAAAGGCATCATTATTATTGAATAGCGTTATACACAAAATTACGGCAGGAAGAATGGTATCTATGAATATAATGTGTGTGTTTTATGTTACAGAAGAGTCACCTGATGTAAAGTGATACCGCCGCCCATAGACTCTCACATTGCCAAAAGGCTCGCAAGTGCATTACCGGTCCGTTAAGAATTGTTATGCCCTTTTCTTGAAGAACCCTATGTCAAATTGGTTCGGAAACACTTCAGTGGGCAGCTGATTCAACATAGTGGTGGGGCGCGGCAAAAACTGCCTTAAAAATGCTCATTTGTGGAACGGATACGGACGGTAATGTATCTACTATGTATGAACAAAATTTTACAATTGATAATATTAATTACTCCATTTAACCCATCTTATTTTGTTCTAAATGCAACCAGACACATGATGAATCGATATTCCTTTTATATAGTAAATTCTCTCTATGAAGGGTTATCTTTCAACTGGTACATAGTTTGACTTACAAATGTGCTGCAAGATACTCCAACGCACTAAAACGAATGATAAAAAATGTGAATAATAATTATCAAGGGCGTCAGCATTCAGGGAGGGTTTGAATCGACAAAACCTTTTTTATTAACTAGCTGACCCGGCGATCTTCGTAACGCCAACAGCCAACGAAATGTTACAGATTAGTTGAACTTAATTTATGATTTTATGAAAGTAAAGTATGATTGTCAGTCTTAGCTTAATCACACGCGAGCCACTTGACTAATATTACAAAGAGGTGATGCGATTTTGCTTTAAATTTATTATAGCTACTTACTCCAGAAGAGCAACTGTCTCCGCGACACTGAAATTTTGATAAATAAAAAAATATTTTTAATATATCCTTGAGCCGTATTAAAACCTATAATCGTATTCAACTATTATTACTATTTTTAGATACCTACTATTTTATTAATTGAATTGCAAATTTATACATAGTTCATATAATCTTACCTTCGATTCACAACCGAGTCGGGTGCACTGAAATCAGATATGTTTTATTGTTCGCAGAGAAAGCCGTTTGTGTTTATTAAGTAAAGTCTTACCCTAGCTGGACAGGCTTCGGAATTGCACTAAAATAAAAAAAAGTATACTTTAATTTCCACTAAAAAGTTTTAATATCACTCTTTATTGGTTGGCATAATATTACTAAGTGTAGTCTGTGCGGAAAAAGAAAAGAACGCTGCAGTGCTGCCTTCTTTGTTATGTTCACAACGCCGTTACGACATTATAGTTTATATTATTTATATTTATAATCTTAAATACAAGATTATAGACAACTTAGTACAAGACATATATTAATTAAAATTAAGTGCCACAATGATTCTAGGGCTAAGAAGACGTTATTGCTTCATACTAGAAAATCTGTCAGTAATTTAAAAGAAATCTGTCAGCATTTCCTCGTCGTGATTTTTATAATTTAGATTAGGACGCATACTTAGTATAATACACATACACTATTATTGTTTAAAAGATTTTTAATATGTACAAATACTGGTATAATGAAAAGGAAAAATTGCTTAATTTAAAAGTCTATTAACATTATTAAATCTTCAGTAATTAATAATTTTTGTGTATATTGTACCAAGTCGTATTACGTCTACCCTTCTCCGTGACTTTGCTATGTCGCAGCCAACTAGCTTAATTGGCAGTTCAATTCACAGCCTAGCCGTTTAACTAAACGGCGCCGTTTAACTAGCGGCCTGAAAGATGTTCAGCCAGCTACGCTTGGATCGATGACGTTCCATTACTTGCCTAGCCTGTTGACTGTTAATTAATTGAATTCCACTTTCTGCCACTCTGAAACTCGAAACGCAAATCTTCAAACTGTCAATATAGCGGTTTGTCAACGCAACAACTTTGATGGTGTTTTCCAAATTTTCATGAAAAACAACAAGTAGGTACAATGGTAGAGTGTAGTGATCATAATAATGTGAATTTGACTTAATTTATTTTTAAAAGAAATATTTTTTATGTCATATGTTTATCTTTTTTATTTCTGCCAAATAAAGACTCTATCGTACGAATGGCTTAAGCATTAGCCAGCCAGTTTATTAAATGTGGTAACAAATGCTACGGCTGAATATGTTTCAGGCCGTTAGTTAAGCGCCGTTTAGTTAAAAGGCTAGGCTGTTAATTGAAAGGCTAATTAATCTAGTTGGCTGCGACAGCTACAGTGAGTCTACACCCCGGCAAACAATAGCCACAAAGTACTACTGTGCGTGAAGAGGAATTCAAGAAATATTTTACATTTTCCTCTTTTGTTTTCAGTCTTCCAACTGCGACTTCAATTGCTAACCAGTCTCTTGAATCCATATTATTTACATCAATGTTGTCAGCGACGATTTTCAACGCCGTCTCATCAGTGCGAAGTCCTTTCTTTGCGGCTCTAGGACGGAATGTTGTTGTCTGCAATATGTGACAAATCAAATGAATGGTTTTACTGTTGTTTCTTAGTTCATCACGTACTGAGCCAGGAGATCCAGAGTCCAAAGAAGTAGAAGCTCGACCTTCTAGGTTCAAAAATATAATAGTTATGAATATATAAGTAGAGGAGAGAAGTTAGTAATGTTTTTCCTTCGGGCAGGAGTATTCTCGACTATTCTAACCACTGACTGGCTTGGAGATCCTGAGTCGATTTCAATAGAAGTAAAAGGCCCATCTTGGTTCAGAAAAAAAATTATGATTATATCTGTAGAGGAGGTTATTTAGTAGCGCCCTTCCAGTCTAACCACTGGCCGGCTCAAGTGTCTAAGCTTTCCAACACGCGCGATTCACGATTTGTATTGAAGGGGCAGATTAAAGACTGATGATGACTTAATAAACGAATGGTTTTGAGAAACGCCTCTAATTTAACAATCAACAGTTAGTAGAAAGGTCATCGTAAACTCATGCCTTTTGCCCAAAGGCAATCACTACGGAGCTTCCCGTCCTTTCTCTAGTACGTACAGTTATGGAAAACACCGACCCAACCTGGCCATCCATGTTTGCCTTGTACTAATTAATTGTTAACTATGGAAATTAAAAAAGATTTTAGTCTTACTGTTAATCCCAACCGCTCAAGACTGTAATCAATAACGGGGACGAATATTGTGCCCTAAAACAAAATTTATATTCATAAAGATGGCAGTAACTTGTTACATACATTTTAAACTCATTAATTAAATGAACATTTAATTAAACAGCTGGTTCATGTAAATGTTATTAATTAAAAATCGGTTAATTGTCTGTATGTCGTGGCCCATTTAGTTTATCCAATGTAATTATTAAATTTAGTTTTACGTATTATTGTTTTTATTTTGTGGTTGCTTGTTTAATTTTATTTTTTCCTTTCCTAGCTTACTTATATAATTGATGTGTATGTGCATGTCTGAAGAATTTGTGATGGCATATTTTCATACTTTGACATATTTTGTTTTAGAACTTATAAATAAATAAATCTTAAAACATCTTTGAAAAACGTAAATAATTTTAATACGAAAGCAATGTTTGAAACGAAGCAAATTAAATAGTTTCCTTATATAGACTTACATTTATTACATACTGGCGATTTCTTCCTGTATTAAAATCCTACAACATATAATTTATAAAATTATTATTTATTTATTAAAGTACACTTCATTATATATACTGCATTTGATATACTACAAGTTACTATCTATTTTTGAGTAAAGGACAATTACGGTGAACATAAATTTTACTAAGAAACTACTAACTACTTTAAAAAGAAAAACTTATACAAACTTATACCACACTACAAATATTAGATTTTACTACTGATACCCTATTTAAAAATAATAAATAGATCAGCCCACTACTGAATATATCAAGCTCTGGATAAATAGTGTTTATTCTGATATATTCGTGAAGAATTCGAATGAGAGGTGCCTGAACTCCTAGCTTGGTTTTTGCAGACGGAATTTGGAAGATTCTGCTGATTTTAAACGAATGAATAAGGGACGACAATGTTAATGTTCTGTCTGAGGGTACTGTTCTGTATTTGACCATTTCAACATTGTGTGGTTTTAGTGACACCTTTTGTGTTCACTGACTATTGGATTGAAAACTTCTCTAGCATCGTTGTGATTTGAAAGTCGATGAAACGAAAAAGGGACATTAAAAAGAGACAGACGCATAAATTCATAAGATTTAACGTGGGAGAAAATGAGAATGAGAATGCTTCCTGCATTATGTCACTGTATAAACTTTTAAGTCTAATTTACAAATTATTGATTTTAAAAACTATTAATAGTTGTAGTTTTTATCAAAATAATTGATATTAAACATAAAAATTAAAATTCCATTCGTCCCACTGTCTTAAAACCAAAATTTTCGAAGGTTTCACTTTCACCAAGTGTGATTTGCACACATGATTTTTTTTTAAATTTCTTTTGCCGATATACCAAAGGATAGTATTAAATTAAAATAAATCAGTGAAGCTACAACCTTTCTGTATCTGTTTCACGATCATTAATTGTTAATCTAATAGGCAAGTAGGTGATCAGCTACATGTGCTTGACGCAAGCCGTCGACTTTTTGGGTCTAAGGCAAGCCGGTTTCCTCACGATGTTTTCCTTCACCGCAAGGCAGCATTAAAATGGTAAATTAAGTCACTTATCATATACTTTTTACTAACTACTACATTGATATTTCGCTCTTTTTAACCGATTTCCAAAAAAGGTACATTTATCAATTCGATGTTTTTTAGACTAATCTTACCGTTACTCTCGCTAATCCATCGGTGGTATCTTTCTGCGTAAAATAGTCTTTATTAAGAAGAAATGTGTTTAATAGTAAAATTAGAGCGTTGTAAGCGGTTTAAATTATCAATATCTATAATCTAATTTGATTAAAACTTAAAAAAAAAACTCTTTTGAGTGCTTTTAAGCAGTGGTAGAAACTACTTGCCATATAACTACGTATATATTTTGGTAATAATAAATTCGGCTTTTAATCCATTGAAGATTCAAGCGAGGTTCACTAAGAAAAATGGTTCAGATTTATACTACAATAGCAATATTGAAGTAGCTATTAATCTAATAAATTTTAAAAATAAAGACAATAAAATTTTGTTTACCGAAAATATGGGTACCCAACGTATGGGTGATCCAAAATCGTCCTAAAATGTGTATAAAAGTCTTTTATCATTTTTATAATTAATTAATTGAAATATTAAGATGTAATACTTGCCATTGATGGGTATCCGTTAGCATTCTTTGTAGGTCTGGTTGGTTTAATAGGCTTTAAAACAAATATAGTAATTATTAATAGTGAGTCTAACGCTGGCCATAGACGGACCGCATTTTGCAGTCGACACCGACTGCTCTAAGCGGTCGCCGCACGGCTAACTGCAGTTTCCATACTAAATTCATATCCGCAATACACGGACCGCACGACCAGTTTCTGAGCGGTCGGAGCAGTCGCTCTGCGGTCGAGTTTCGCCGTGCGGTCGACTGCTTAGAGCTGCCGGACCCACCATACACGGACCGCTACAAGCGGTTGCTGCCGACCACGCGCCACTCCCTCAAATATAATAAAATACTAACTAATTCATCAAATGAAACCACGGACTTTTTAAAGTAGTTGAAAAACCTTTTAGTGTCTTCTCTCAGCTGGGGATACAAAGTATGAAATATTCTATGCTGTTCTCTTGATTGTAGTATTGGAGGCCAATGGAGGCTCAGTGAATGTTAAGTGAAACCAACGCCCATGGACACCCACGTTGCCAGAAGGCTTGCAAGTGCGTTGCCGGTCTTTTAAGAATTGGTATGCTTTTATATTGGTTACTCTTCCTTAATCAAAAATTGTTGCACAACTGGCACTGACCATAACTGAGAAACGCTAAACAAGGCTAGACAAAGTTGATTTAAATCTTGATTTGAAAACTAAGAAAATACGAGACTTTAATTTGAATCGTTATAATATTAATAATTGTTTTACCAATTGTAGTGATTTCGGTTCTGGTATCTGTAAAATAAATAATTCACTTATCCTTGCTTGCCTATTACGCCTGATAGGCAATGATTTTAGTCAGTAATTGTATAAAGAGTAATTAATGTGATTGCCTGATAAAAAATGCAATAGTACCTACATAATAAGTGGTAAGTAAGTAATTAAAATACTAGGCGTTTTAAAAGCTGACAGACACCAAATTGTTTTGGAAATTGGAAAATGCTAATTTATGCTTCTATTTTCATGAGTTGTCTATTAAACATTTGCAAAAAAAACTTTCCGTACGACTTTGCTTGTACGAGCGAGTGTAATATGCCACAGGCAGGAAAGTACATTGGTTCACAGCCGGGACTCGAACCTCATCTGGGATAAGAGTTATTCTTCCTTTATATTAAATATATATTATAATGATCAATGCATCTTTGAATTTATTATATATAAGTAGGTAAAAACTGTGCTTAATGTTTATTTTAAATGGGTATTCTGTTTTTGGCTGTATATAATAATATTGTTTAGTGAGTAGCTGTAATAATACTGATGAGCGAATAAATAAATAAATAAGAGTCGCTCATTCAAGCCATTATATGTCGATGTTATATATCAGATAAACCCTACCTCTAATGGTAGGTCTGTAACTGATGACGATAATTGCGCAACTGACGTTTCGTTATTCACGTTGTTTATGTTCTGAAATATTATTAAAACTTAAGTATTAAATAATATATCAATTATGATAATGCAAAACAGTATAATTTATTTATTTATTAACACTTGATGCATACAGACGTAATTGACGTAAATAAATGTAAAGGAGGGCAATTGGCGGCTTTATAGCTTTCGAGCGATCTCTTCCAAGCAACTACTGTGAGAAATGAAATTTAAATTAGATAAGGTTGTATTGCAGTATTTTTTGATCAGTTTTCGTTTACAAACTACTTGTTTTATAGAAATGATTGCTATTTTGATACTTGTAACTAAAGTAGTTAAAAATTCATTTACTTATCGTCAAACTTATATACCTAAAATTCATATACTTAAACCATCCCCACGAGTCATTCTGAATCTTGGTTAAAACATTAAACATTTTGTATAGCACTTTTGAATTTACCGCGAAGAGAGGATTTGTTTTTATATAATATAAAATTAGACATGCTGTCACTAAGTATTTTGTAGGCATTATCAAGGTCTACAATTTTTCTCTAGAACTGAATGATAATCTCATTCATAAACCAACGATTGTAAAAACGTTTTTTCTCCTACTTACTTTGCAAATCCAACCGACTACCATGAAAAAGTATTTTAATTTTTCGGGTTAATATACCTTGTTATAGTTTTTATCTTTTTATAATAGGGTTATAGTGCACAGGTGCTAATTAAAGATTTAAGTTGGCAGGGTAGATAGTACCGGTGACTCCGGAGCTGGTAATATCCTCGCTCACTTTACTTTTACTTTTAATATAACGAGGAAATGCTGCCAGCAAGGTACACTGCCACAGGGAAAGGTCTCAATGGAGTGGTTTAAAACCGAGTAATTTTTCATCACGGTTTGTACTATCCAAGGCTGTACATTTTGCTCAGGTCACTCAGGCTTTCTTAGTTTTATAAGCGTGACGATTTCCTAAATCGTCGGAGTTACGCCCCGAGAGTATAGCCAGACGTAGGCACTCTCTTCAACTGTTACATTGCTTACATTCGTTTCATAGCAATTAA